TACTGTCCTAAACGAGTGCAGAATCATTCTGGCTTGCTTCTAAATGAGGGACGTTTTAGAAATTTTCAAACTCCTGCTGCAGCGGTTCAAGAAAAGTTTCCCTGATGCAAACACTCAATTACTAAGAAGAAAATCCCCCAAGTACAGAAAGGCGGCAATCAACCTCTCACAACCTCCCTCCTGTTTCCATGACTAAAGTCAGCTTTTCTGCCTTTGCCAACCCAGCTGTGCTTTCAAAGTCTTAAAGTGGAAAAAAGGCTTCCACATTCCTCCTGCTAAACTTACCTCCAGCAGTTTTATTCTAAGTAAACCAAACCCGTTGCCGTTGAGTCGATTCCAACTCATAGTGACCCTATAGGACAGAGTAGAACTGCCCCACAGGGTTTCCAAGGAGCAGCTGGTGGATTCGAACTACCGACATTTTGGTTAGCAGCCAAGCTCTTAAGCTAAATGAGTTACTTAAGGGTGATGAGTTTCTTCTAGGGCGCCTCTAAGGAAGATCTGGACATTGCATGTTACCCACAAGTTTCATGGTAAATACTGACCACCCAACAAATTCTAGGCTGTGACATTTTGGGTTGGATCCCCTAAACCCAGACTTTTTTTTTTTTTTTTTTAAATAAATATAAAGCTCTTTTCCATTCATTCTTTAAAAATGAAACTAAAAACTAGCACTTCTCTCAGCTCACACCCTCCATGATTTCCCTAGAAATTATCTTTGGCTGCTCAGTTCCCCGGATCTATTTTTCAACAGAAAGCAAAGGTCTCTTCCAATAGCATAAGCTCCTTTTACTTCCAGTTATCCAGGCTAGTGGGGGGCATGCAGCAGCAGGGCAAAAAGCAAGCACAGCTGGAAAATGATACAACAGGTTCTCCAGTTTCACAAAATTAGTATCCCCACGGTGATTTTCCTTGGATTATTTCTAACCCTCGCCACTCTCATCCAGTTTATCATAAAATTTTGGTGATTCCAGCTTCAAATGCTTCTTGATAACCATCCCCCAGGCTCTGCAGGTGGGCTGTAGAGCTGCTGGCCTCGGCTGGGATTGATCCCACGCTGTGGGGTGGGTTCTGGTGCCACATTCTCCGTGGCCAGTATCTCCCAGACCATGCTCTTCTGGCAGGTCACTGGAAAGCAAGAGACAAAGCCCAAGGGAACAAGCCCATTTCAAGCCTCTGTTCTCATCACGTCCACTAACATTCCACTGGCCACAGCAAACCCAGAATCCATGGGACAGGGAAATTTATGCTGGCCACTCTGCCTGGTCACACACCAGGCAGAGGGAGAGGGTGAAGAATGAGGAAGAGAATGCAATCTACCACAGAGCCCGTACGTGGGGGGAGGGATGGGATGTGAAGGTACACCAAACTCCAAATTTCAGCAGTAGATAAAAGACCGTTCCCTCAACGGACCATACCATGCACCTGGTCACAATGGGCGAAAGCACGGAAGCCACTGACTGAACGGGGGTGGCATGAGCTGTTGGCCCCTTTGCACACAGCCGGAGCCCTGGTGATGTAGTGGTTAAGAGCTACAGCTGCTAACCCAAAGGTCGGCAATTCGAGTGAACCAGCTGCTCCTTGGAAACCCTGTGGGGCAGTTCTACTCTGTCCTATAGGGTCGTATGAGTTGGAATCAACTCAATGGCAACGGGTTTGTTTTTTTGTTTGTTTGTTTGCCCAGTAGCCACAAAGGCCCTCTTCTTTGGTTCTCTAAGCTATCAGGTTTTACTTCAGGGTTTGGGAGGGCAGGGCAGAAGCAATCGCTGTCCCTAATCCTTTGTGCCCAGCCATTTATCTATTCACTGTAAATCCAGGCTTCGGCTCTCTGTCAGTATGTCACTGGCTAATTAGGTCAGCTGGGACACTGGACTGGAGCATGAAACATCCAAGAGCAACTATCCTAAGGTGATCGGAGAATGGAGAAGCTGACGGACTTAGTCACGGCTTTCAGGCAACTTGGAAGGTTTCTGACTCCACTGACTCCAGCTCTGGGGCTGCTGTGGAGACAGAGGTAATGAAGCTTTTATACCAAGTACAGAAAACAACGATCAAGATATAGTCTGGGAATTGTCCTAAGAAGTAAGCATGGCTCTGTTGTTGTGTGCTGTCGAATGGATTCCAACTCAGGGAGACCCTATAGGACACAGAAGAACTGCCCCATAGGGTTGCCTAGGCTGTAATCTTTACGGAAGCAGATCACCAGGTCTTTCCTTCCTCGGAGTTGCTGGATGGGTTTGAACCGCCAACCTTTTGGTTAGCAGCCGAGTGCTTAACCATTGCGCACCAGCCCCCAGACAGCAGGCCAACCAGCACCTCTCCCCACCAACAGGATTCTCGCTCAGCTTTTTACCATCCCCTGAACACACCAAGCCCTCTCATGTCCGTCTCAGAGCCTCGACTCACTTTACTTTCTCACTCTGACCACTCTTTGGCAGTGTCGTATCCTCTTGTTCATATTTCTGTGTTGAACTTAGCATATGGTTGGGCTGATGTCTGTACCCTGCCTGAATGTGACTTCTTGGGGACAAAGATGACTTCTGTATCCCTCATAGGCAGCACAGGGCTTGGTGCATGGGAGGTACCCCATTAGCAACCCGCTGACACAGAAGCCCAGTGTGAAGACACACACACACATACACGTACACACACACGCCATCACTATTAGCTTCTGGTAAGGTGCCAAACTTCACTGCCAGCTTTCCAAATTCTCCTCAAGCCTTATCACCAGGATACAGCAAGCAAGAAAAAGAAATTGCAACCCAACTGCCAAAGCTCAATTAACTATCTTGGCGTTGGTGGCTTCTTCAGGACAGCTTAACTTCCCAGCATTCCTCAAGAGGCGGGAAGGTGAGCAGGCATCCGTATTCTCTCTTACTCTATTTTTTTTTTTTACTAAAAGAAAAACTTGAGTACAAACATAGAGAAAACATGTCAGTCTTCATACTCAACCACCCCTACGAGCTCACCAGAATAAGAGCTGGACTGACCACCTAGAGTTCTTGGTCCCAGTTTAGTGATAACCAGATGGCAGTACAATGCGGTGATGAAGGAATTAATTTGTACACCAGATAACCTGAATTCCTATCCTGACTCCATCACTTACTAGCTGTGGGGCCTTGGCCGAGGAACACTCTGAGTTCCTCAGATTCATCATCTAGAAAATGGGGGATGATAATAGCATTTATTCACATAAGGATTTTGTGAGGATTAAATAGGAAAATGAAAGTAAAACGCATAAAATGATGGCTGACATTTATCTAGTACTGATCTGTACACTGGGGCCCAGGAAACTCTTCTAGATACTGGCCCCAGTAATATGTACTGTCTTCCTCCCCTCACTCCCAAATCTCTACTAGCCCAGCTTATAGGTTTTCAGGGTCTTTACTTACAATTTCACAAAATAAGAGCTTCTTCTCTTCTCTCTTCCTTCCCTTCCCCTCCCCTCCCCTCCCCTCTTCCTCCCTTCTCTTCCTCTCTCCCTCTCTTCTTCCTTTCTTTGCTGGGTGGTGCAAACAGTTAACACACTTGGCTGCTTTCCAAAAGGTTCGAGTTCACCCAGAAGCACCTCGAAGAAAGATCTGGCAATCTACTTCTGAAAAATCAGCCGCTGAAAACCCTACAGAGCACAGTTCTCCTCTAACTCACATGGAGTGGCCATGAATTGGAATCAAAGTTAGACATATAGATATAAATACATATAAATCACTGGTTCTGTATCTCTAGAGACCGCTAAGACAGTGATCTATTCTCACCAGTGGCCTATTCATGACCCATCTGTTCATTCGCTAATTGACTCACTCATTTTTAATAACAATTAAAAAAAAAAAAAACAAAATAACAACTAAGACCTTGAAAATAATCAACATCTAACTATATGGAACTTCTCCCATCAATCTACCTCCCCACATATGAGTTAACTATCATCCTCTTTGCTTTGCTTTTTACATTTTTATTAAATTTATCAACTGTGGTTTAGTCACACGATGGAATATTGAATAACAGTCAAAACAAATGAACGCCACCAACACACAATAATATGAAGAAAGTGTACACTGCACACAGATGATACCAGTTTTTAACAGTAGAAATATGTACTTTTTAAGATGCCTTAAAATGGACGTATATTTTTAAATCTTTGTGTTTTTTCCTAATCGCTGACGGAATGCATGATTTGAGTAAAGAAATGTACCTGGTCAGTTTAACAGGGGAGGATATGACCTTATCCCACACATTCTATCTTCCCAAGGTTCCCCAAGAAAGCTTACTTCTCCACCCCTCAGCTGCATCCTTCAGCTTCAATAAAATAGCACCGAAATCAAGAGCCCTGAAATGAGCAGGCAATCCACGCAAGAGGAAACAATAGTAAACAAACACGTGAGGGAAATGTTCAACTTCACTCCTAACCAGAGAAACACAAATTAAAGCATTTGGGGAGCTATCACTCTACAACTAGTAACCTAGCAAAAACAAAACAAAATCGAACACCAATGAATGCCCGTGATCATACGTTAAGACTGACGTATGCAGACAATGCTAGCAACACAATAAACTTAAAAAGGCGAACACTCACACGGCTGTATGGCAAGGTATAGCCATGAACCATGCAGCTGTTCCCACTGTGGGATTTATCCTAAAGAAATAGTCCAATGAAAAGAAGGAATGTAGATGCCCCCCTACAATGCAACGATTTAGAGAACCACAGTATAGCAACATGACAGAATGTAAGGCAGCTGAGGCAACTTACAATTGTGAAGGAAAACGTATATGATGTATAAGACATGGAAAATACAGAGGACAAAATGGTAAGTGTGTAATAGTTAAAACTATGCAAACACGTCTATCCACGTGTACCAAGGCTGTGAGGTAATGGGCAAAAATGAACATAGCTGTTGTAGTGGGTGGTGGGTATGGGTGTTGTTTCCTCCCTTTCAGTGTTTTCTTCAGTGTTACTGTGATGCTGGGCTGCAATTATTTTTTAGAGCTTGAAAGGCTCCTACCTTGAGAACTTTCACAGCTTTCCTCGTCACTGTTGTCTTGACAGTTGTTTTGCCCATCGCAAATGAAGCTCTTGTCAATGCAGAGGCCGTTCTTGCAGTGGAAGCGGGCGGTGGAACAAAGCAGGGGGTTTGCTGCTGTGAAGGGAAAACAAGAAGATCACCAGGGATGCTAATAGGTTCCCTTGGGGACACAGGAATCTTCCTAGCCCGGGGTATGTCCCGCTCAGGAGGCCATGGGCCCATCTTCCAAGATGGCAGACTCAAACCTTGTCCTGGGAGATTGGCCAGCCAATGACTGGGGCAGGCAAGACTTACTCTGCCTTATTCTAAAGGTTCCTTTTCCCAAGCCACCATGTTGATGCCATGTAACCATACCAGCAAGGCCAGAGGTCAATGCCTCACCCTAAGCAGTCAACCTCTAAGCTGGCCAGCAGCCTTTGAAAGGTCTGGGGCAAAAAGTGAACCTCAAGGACGCCTCTGGAAGAATAAAGAAGTGAATGGCTAGTGGCAGAAGATGAAAGACACATAGAGAAAAAGCAAAGTCAGAAAGAGTAGCTGAGTTGGGGATCCATGAATCTCCTTCACCAAGGGAATGATGACATGATCTGGCCCAAGAGCTACACAGAATCATTCCAGTTCCTTAACTATACATCAGGCTCTTAATTCCTCACGTATCTTATGGGTCACCAAGGTTAACTTTGGGGTCTTGATTCCTTCTTTGCAGTCAACGAATCCCATTAACCTAGTTGGTCAGTGGCCATTTATTGAGTGGCTTCCATGTGAGACTCCCTGTTCTAAGCACTTTCAGGGCCTTTAAGACAAATAGCACATATGGTCCCTTCCTTCAAGGAAAAGGGTGGTAAATGGCCAGTCTGAGGTCAACACAAAACTACTTAACAACACATGAGCAAATCTTCACATGAAAACCAGTATTTCTACATACAATTTACCTTGCTTCCACATTCCTTGCAGTGCAATTCAAATAAGGCTCATTCCAGAGCTCTGATGTCAATAAACGAAGCAGCAAAGTGAAAAGAAACTCCTATTCCAGCTCTGCTATTTATTACCCGTGTAATCTTGGGCAAATCACTTCGCCTGTCTGGGCCTTGGTCTCTTTATCAGAGGACAGGACCAGCTACAGTTTGTAGGGTCCAGTGCAAACTGAAAACACAGCGGCCATTGTTCAAAAGTTATTAAAAAAATTCAAGACAGCAATGGGAGAGGATAAAACCACGCGTGGGGCCCCTCTAAGCCAGGGTCCTGTGTGACTGCACTGGTGGCAGGTCCAGGAAGCCAGCTCTGCTAAATCAAATGATATGACACGTGAGAAACTGTGGTATGTAGAGTCTGATACGTCTGATATACAGTACTGGTCTGGGGAACGTCAGACAAGCTCCCCATGTCTGCCTTGGTCCCACAGAGCCAGGCCCTCCCTCAAGGAGCAATACTGGCTCTGGATGAATAGGGGCCATTTTGGCAAGGAACTGAGCCTCCACCTGCATTACACGTGGTGGGAAAAACACCAGATGGGCACCATGTCTGGCACAGCAGATAGCTACAGGATTAGGGGCAAGTGAGCTCATGTACCTCTTGGTTTTTCTCAACTACAGGCGGCAGTTGTAATATACCATCCCTGGATCCTTCACTGAGTACTGTTAAGATACACAGAGATCATGGCTGCAGGACTTTGTAAACTTCACAGGGCTACGTAAACCCAAAGAGGCATTGGGGATTCAGTGGTAGAATTCTCACGATCCACACAGGAGATCTGGGTTTGATTCCTGGTCGATACACCTCATAAGCAGCCACCACCTTGCATTGCTACAATGCTAAACAGGTTTCAGCAGAGCTTCCAGACTAAGATGAACTAGAAAGAGAGGCCTGGTGATCTACTTCCAAAAATCAGCCAGCGGAAATCAGTCTGACCTGCAACTCATCAAGGGGATGGCACAGGACCAGGCAGTGTTTCGTTCCGTTGTGCACAGGGTTGCTGTGAGTCGAGGGCAAACTTGATGTCATCGAACAACAACCATATGTAAACTCAAAGGACTGGAGGTTTTTTTAAAAAAATTATTCAGTTCAGGAAGTTTGATTTGAAGGGTCAGAGGAGGTAGAGGGATGTGGAAGTCAGCCGTCTCAGTTTTGAGGATGGTGGACTAGTGTAAAGTCAAATAAAAGCAGTCTGGTCTGCAAATGGAAGTTTCAATTACTTAAATTGCTGCGGGCTAGAGAATGGCTCAACTTGATCAAGCTGAAACCAAGGCCTGACTTCAGCCAAAACCAAACGGTGAAACCCAAAACCACAGATCACATTTGTTTTCTGTCCAAGGCAGCCTCCAAACCCTATGCCCATCATCCTCCCACCCTGGTGGCCACCAGCTTCCACAGGACCTCTCTTGGGTCATGTCTACACAGCCAAAGTGGCAACAACAATCAACTCACTCAAACTGACAGCCTTGGGCAGATACTCTTAATTGCTCCAAGATGGGTAGTAGCAAGCTTTTGCGAATACCCTGGTGGGGTAGGCTGTGTTGGACTAGCCTGGCTGAGACTGCTGCCATGTGCTTGCTTTTTCTTCAGCCTTAGACTCTTTCAACTTTACAAATTTTCCCAAGAAAAAAAGCCATATATATGTGTGTGTGTGTAAACATACATACATACATGTATATGCATCTATATATTTTGTCAAGACCAACTAAGATGAACTATATCTTAAAACACAGCTCAGATAAAAAATCCAGATATTAAAAACCAAGTCACAGGCCGGTTTTAATGCATATAACCAACAAAGGACTATTAGCCAGAATATATAAAGAACTCCCACAAATCAAAAGGAAAAAGACAAAGAACTCAGGCAAAGAATGTGGTCAGGCAATTCACATAAGAGGAATAGCATATTGTCAATAAATACTGAAAAAATATTTTTAATTTCACAGGTAATGAATGAAGTACTCTGTTATAAGCATCAGGCTCGCCAAACTTAAGTCTTAAAATACCAATTTTGGCAAGGTGTGTGTAGAGGAAGTGTCATGGACTACTAGTGGGAGTGCAAATTAGTAAATCCACCTTGGGTCTTTTTAGTAATATCTAGTAAAGTTTAAGGTGCACATACCTTACAACCCAGCAATTTCACTCCCAGTTATATACTCTAGACACCAAAAACCAGTTGCCATAAATTTCAACTCATGGCAGCTCCATGTATATCACAGTGGAATTGGTTTTCAGTGGCTCATTTTTCAAGAGTAGATCACCAGGCCCTTCTTCCAGGGAGCCTCTGAGTGGACTATAACCTCCAACCTTTCAGTTAGCAGCTCAGCTCTTAACTGTTTGTACCACCCAGACACTCAACACTCTAGAGAGACTCTTGAAAAAGTACACAAGGAAATGTGTACAAAATTGATTACTGAAGCACAGTTTGTAAAATAAAAAAATTAGAAACAAACCCAATGTCCATCCACAGGAGAAAAGATACAATTTATTATATTGTTGGAGTCCCTGGGTGGTGCAAATGATTAACACACTGGGCTGCTAATCGAAAGGCTGACGGTTTGCATCCATCCAGAGGTGCATCAGGAGAAAGGTCTGCCCATCTACTTCTGAAAAATCAGCCACTGAAAAATCTACAGAGCACAGCTCTCCTCTGACACACATGGGGTTGTAATGAGTCAGAGCTGACTTGAGATTCAACAGCAACTGGATTTTTTTTTTTTTTTTTGCAATGGGATGCCATCAAGTTGATTCCGACTCATAGGACAGAGTAGAACTGCCTCATAGAGTTTCCAATGAGCAGCTGGTGGATTTGAACTACGGATCTTTTGGTGAACAGCTGTAGCATTAACT